TGTTCATAGTTTCCAAGAGAATTTCACCTCAATTCAAAAAATTGTACCCTATTGATAAAGAGGCAAAATCCAGCGATAATCCTGAAATCATAGTGACTCACTTTGTTACGGTCGTCCAAGATAACAACTTACGATTAGTCTTTATCGCTGAGAGGTGCCAAGATAGGCTATTCCTGATGGAACGACTCAACCTTACACTGCCATGTCTTAGCGTTTGTCACCACCTGAAAGTACATTTAACGATAAACGTTATTTCATGCAACGATGAAATAAAGAAATTGCATGAGAGTGATGCAATTTCATTGCAGTCCTGTTCATAATGTACACACCAGTATGCGTTATGGGTATACTCACCTACGGTAATTCGATACACTCGTCAATAATCAACTCAGTACAAACCACCGGAATCCAACAAGCTGTTAATATCCTCATTACAGCGCACTGTATCCTTGCATTGACTATCATTATGAATCCTCTAAATCAGGATATTGAAGAAATTTGCAAAGTACCACAACGTAAGAAACTACATCCTTTGTTTCAATTTGGAGGAGAACATCAAAAATTTCAATTAAATGATTAAACTGGTCTTAGTGAATCGTCAGTTGTTGGAGTTTAAAATCTTCATTTGGAATTTCAAAATTTAGTAATTCATGGCGGAAAAAATATTCTGTAGAAATCAACAAGGTTTATGTGCTTGTTGTTGTCATTCATACTGATCAGTATACTAATCAGTTAAACACTCCGAACTGTCAGTTATTCACGTAAAGGACAAAAAACCCTAAGTTTGTTATCAGTTAGCGAAAGAATCGACCGAGAAAAACAGGAGACTCAAATTCGAAACTGAAAAAGAGGAGGAGATCGAGGAAGCAACGAAATTTCAGACTTTTGCTGGCAGCGAGTGGCTGTGCGAACAGGTGTGATGTTGGCGGCTGTGTTTATTGCCGAAACTGTGCCGGACTTTGGCCCTTTAATGAGTATCGTCGGTGGATCGACGATGTCGTTGACATCGCTCATATTCCCGTGTTTCTTCTATTTGTATTTAGTGGTCATTGATAAACGCACACCTGAAAAGAACACTGGCGACAACTATGAAATTCCCAGTTTTATCGAGTCCGTTACGTGTTTCGCTTGCAATTCATTATTTGGCCCAAAATACTCATTCAACTCTTCCGTTATAATTCAGCTTAAAATGCTTATCAATGATATTTATCAGTGTTAGCGATTGCAAATCACGATTTTTGACGCGATCAAACGATCGATCAAATTGTCTGAATACCAAAATCTCTGTAATGTTACCTAGGTGAAACTCGGAAAGTTAAGAACTTTGTTGCATGCAATTGTTAACGAGAAACTTGGTCTCAGCATTAGAAAT